CTTCCTGTGTTTCTTTCTCCACAAATAAGTGGACACACACACGTATTTTTTTATTTCTTCTTCTTTCTTATACAAAAAGTGGTTACAGTGGAGGTCACCTGAATTCATTAAATATTCAATAGCTTTGAATCTCAAAAGGAAAAGTTTGAAATCTCAATCATTTTCTTCTGGCCGGGCGCGCTGGCTCATGCCTGTAATCCCAGCACTTTGGAAGGCAGAGGCGGGTGGAACTCTTGAGCTCAGGAGTTTGAGACCACCCAGGGCAACATGGTGTAACCCTGTCTCTACTAAAAATACAAAAAAAATTAACCGGGTGTGGTGGGGCAAGACTCTGGTCCCAGCTACTTGGGAGGCTGAGGCGGGAGAATTGCTTGAGTCCCAGAGGTGAAGATTGCAGTGAGCCAAAATCGCACCTCTGCACTCCAGCTTGGGCTACAGAGTGAGACTCTGTCTCAAAAACAAAAACAACAAAACAAAACAAACAAACAAACAAAAATCATTTTCTTTTTAGAAGTTAATTGTGGGCAGGCTGATTTATTTTGCAAATTTGCCAATCCTGACTTCAAGAACATTCAAATGCATTAACCAATGGGAATGTAGGGAAAGAGGGCTCCACCCACTTACAGAGGGTAGGATATGGCCTCATACTAGACAAAATGTTATTCGATGCTACTTTCAAGATTATAGGGGATGGGCCTGGATTTAGTTGATGGCTATTATGGTGACCTTTAAATAAATGAGATTCAAAGTGACCTGATATCTTATATTGCTTGAACCAGCTTTCATGAAATAGTATTCTTATCGGGGGTGGGCCCATCATTCCATATGATCAAGGAAACATCGTTTTGAACAGAGATCCTGTAATCATCCTCACAAACTGCACTTCAACATTGGATTGGATTAGCCACATTTGAGGATCTCACTTTTTATGTCTTCATAAATTTAAAATGTTGAAAAAGTCAGAGGCAAGGGAAGACATTTATACTACTTCACAGTAGACCTCCCTCAACATGGGCTATATATCCATTAGTAAATATTCTATAGCTATTGTTCTGCAACAAACCAGACAAGATCCTACAGTCTTACTATCCTTCTATTCTTGGCCCTATCTTCCCCAAGGAGTTACACATATTCTAGATAGTCTAAATTAAGAGCAACTCTCATCATACTCTTTTTGAGTGTTTAATTATCAAGCAACAGTCTAACTAAGCCAAAAGTATTTCTCTTTTTGGGAGTGGAAATGGAAGCTAAGTTGATTGACCCACAGGAACAAGAGGGAACATGCCATTATATTTTAACCAGTGTGTAAAGAAGGCTGTTATGCAATCAATGATCTGGGTCTTTCTCTTCAGAGAAATTTGTTGTACAGAAAATTGCTGTTGGGATGAAGCTTTGCAGTCTTGCAGTCCTTGTACCCATTGTTCTCTTCTGTGAGCAGCATGTCTTCGCGTTTCAGAGGTAACCCAATAGAATCCTAGACTGTGGTGGGCCACTCTCCTCACTTGTTTGCCACATGTCGTGTTAAGTCAGTGCACTGAGCTGGTGGGCAAAATGGTAAACTTTGAAGGCCAGGTCTTTGAGAACTTTCCAAGTTGCCCTGACAAATAAGTAGACTTTAGCATAATGGGCTATCACTAAAGAGAGGGTCTTTTTTCTTTCCTGGCTCTGGTTTTATTATTGGGAGAACGTTGGATGATATGCATATCCAGTGACTATGAAGATTCAAGAAATTAAATCTTTTATAAACATAATTATTTATATTCTAACTTGATGTATGATTCATATTCTTCCTGTCTTCACATTAAAAAAATTAACTATGGATCATTTATTTTCTCCTTGTACATGGAACACAGGAGGAAGAAGAGGGTGAAGTGTTAAATAGGAAGTTTGGATCATGCATGATTATTTAGCATGGACTATGAAAGGAAGAAGAGTTGTGTGATAAAGAACTATTATCTAATTCTTATTTTGCTTAGTAGACTCCCTCAGGATAAACTATCTAGAAGAACACAAATGAGCTCATGCAATGCATAGAGCGAATAGTTCCAGGGTACATGTAAGGTAATTTATTAAGTAGTCAGTTTTTAGGCTTTAAAACATTGATATTGTTTCCTTTGGAATTATCTTATTTTTCCCCTTTGTTTTGGTTCTACGATCGCTTTCTCCTTCAATTATCTTTGAGACAGATCCCTCTCCTCATGTTAGTAAATGACAAAGAAAGAAGAGACATAGGGCAAAGGAATGTACCAGGGACACTTTTTCTACCACCAAAAAAAAGTTTGTAGTAATAAATAACCATAGGACAACAGTTTGGAAAATAGATCTTACCTTGTGAGCCTGAAGCTGTGTTTGTACATGATCCCTGAACTGTTTATAGTTGATTGATCTTCTTTTGTTCAATATGATTGTCAAATGTCAAGCAACAAATTCTGTCATAAAATAATGGTTGTTATTTAAGCGACATGGGGGTCAAGATTGCTGCATTGATCAGAAATGTCTTTCTCTGTATTGTATTGGTGAATCATATGGTCAGGATTTCTAAGGTTCCTGTTAGTTCTAATATTCTATAACTTGATGATTGGCTTCAATTAAGGGAAAGGGGGAGAAGAGAAAAATTGGTATCAACATGTCCAACTTGGCTATTGTACACACTGGCAGTACCATTGACAGTGAGGGGAAAGGGAGGAAACCTCTGCTTATTTAGTGCCCGTGTTTGGGCCAGGCACTCAGCTAGTCACTTAGAAATGTTATCTCTTTAAATGCACAAAATCCTACATGCTAGGAATCTTTACTGACATTTTACAAAGGAGGACACTGAGCCTCAGGAAGAATAAATCGTTGGCCCAAGATCAAACAGTAAGTGTAGAGCTTGGATTCAAACCCACTTGAGCCTCATTTCAACTCTGTGCACTGCACAGCAGTGCCTCTATAAAATCTGGAAAGTAGGAAGAGAGCCAGTTTGAAGGGAGGTCAGATTTAGTCAAAGGGAGTTGGAGGCAACAGTTGGTTTGGAATGTAGCTTGGAAAAGAGGTTCAGGATTGGAGATCCAGTTTCATGGTCCTCACCCCCTAGCAGATCTAATTATGGCCTCAGCGTCAGCCCAGTGCAAGTATCCTCAGCTGGCTGTTGCAGAGTTTGGCGGGCAGGTGGACTCACTGCAGACCGCCATCTTGATCATAGAGTAACCCAAACTCTTAGATCGGATAATCAATAGCAAAACACACCAAAAGCTTTAGCACATCTCTTCAAATGAGTACGTGTATAGCAGCTTAGTGACACTAAATATAATGCAAATAAAAGAAGTAGCCAAAAATAAAATAGTAAAAAAACGAGTGAGAAAATATCTTCATGCATGGGTTTTCTTACTATTTGTTGCTTCAGCTTATACTCTGAAATCTGACTGATACTTATGCTTGAAGAAAGGAACGAGAATGTGACTATATTTTAACCAAAGAATATCACACTAAAAATATCTAATACTTTTGTATACTGCGGGGGTCCCTTTGTAGGGTAGGGGAGGTAGGAGGACCTCGGTATTGTAGACAGATGAATATCTGAATCCTGGTTCCCATCCCTTCACTAGAAATAACACTGCAAATTATTCTTTCTGTGAGTAAAAATAAATTTTTGTAGCAAATGTTTCTGAGCTCCACTTTTCCAGGAATGGCTTATTCCTGAAGCTAAAAAGGAAATCTAATTTCACTCAGAGCAACAGACTTTGACAAATTATTGCTGGTGTTGAGAATATAAACCCTTCTAAAAAAAAAAAAAAAAAAAAAAAAAAAAAAAAAAACTCTGGCTTTTTCTTAAACCTGTTCTTTGTTATAATTTTTTTTCCATGATCATTTTCCTAATAACAGTTTTTATTCATGTAGTCTCTTAGTGGCTGATTTGTAGGTTCATTTTGATCAATTTCATCAGTGAAATGCCCTGGAACAACAACAACAGGTTTTAAAGGCATAAATGTCATATGCCAAAGACAAAGGCAGCCAAAAAATCATGACTCCCTATTCATTTGCTTTTAAAAACCAAACACCATAAAGGGTGAAAATAAAATACCAGCAAGAATCTTGTAAACAGAGTCAGTAATTGTATTGTGCAGTGATTACCTAAATGCAGCCTGCCAGCCCAGGCTATTTGGAAAGAGGAAGTAAGAGAAACTAGGAAGAAAGAATTAGAGAGTGGAAGAGGATTGACGATAAAGGGCTTTTGAATTATTAATAGACCACAGCAAGTTTTCCTTCTGTTGACTTCACGTACTATCTGGGTACCTGGAGACCAGTTTACTCTCTTTCACTTAGCTCCTACTAATGTATTGTTTTCATCTCAAAGAACAGGCCACCAGTGGCCTTAGAACACTGTAATGTGTATAACAAAATTGTAGCCTTGGGCTATGTTCCATTGTTCAGAGACATCTTGCCAGCTTTTTAAATTCAAAATAATCTTTCAGAACATGAAAATGTGAACCCTCCCCTGTAAACCACAGTAGGGAATACACCCCAATGAACATAATCGCATTCTCAGAAGGGAAGGAACAGAGGAAGTGTTGCATAGGTATTAAAAGCTCAGGATCTAGACTCGAGCCCCAGATCTGCTACTTACCACCAGTGCAGCCTTGGGCAATTTGCTCATCCCCTTTGAGCCTCATTTTACTTTTTGTGTAAAGTGACCTGTTACTTCATTGTGCTTGTACTTCTCATTCTATTTTTGGTGTAAGGCTGTTCTTTTTTCTCAAGTGGTTATTGTGTAAGTGCTATAATTGTATCATTCAGAGACGCAATTGAAACACAGCTGTATTTTTGTCTCCCTTAGCCCCATGACATTTTGCGTAGTGGGGTTACCTATCACTGCTCTTGCATGGAAAGTTAGAAAATTTCAAGGCTTTTTAGCCTGCTCTTAAGCGACAGTCCTTGGGTCCTGCTAAAAATACAAATAGCCTCAATTTAGAAATTAGAATGTCAGTTCCATCTTTGTTGTTAAAAGAAAATCTTTAAACGAATTATATTTAGCAAAGTTTAATTGAACAAAGAACAATTTTCTAATCAAGTAACCCTCAAAAACTTCTGCTCAGCTAGGTGGGCAGGCAGCGTTTACAAACAGCAAATGGAAATGAGGTCCAGAAGCAGCTTGAGTAGTTACAGGTGAGCAGTTGTCTTACTGGGCAAGGGCTGATCAGTTGGCCACATGGGATTGGCTGTAGCTTGGCTGCTGTGATTGGCTGAGGCTCACCTCGTTAGTACAAAAAAAAAAAAATACTCCTAAGTTAGGTTGCAGTTTGTTATGTAGACACTCAAGTTACGAGGCATCCTCAGACCAAATTTAGTTTAATTTAACATTATTTACAGGAAAACAACTGCCTCACCTCTTCCACACACACACACACCTTACTCTTTTTCTCGTTAGTCTTTTTCTCAAGTTCTAACTTCTTAGAGTTGTGTGAGACATCTTTATTGGGGAAGCCTCTGGACCAGGACAGATGCTTCCTTGTCCAGGTGTTTACTTGTGACTCCATCCTTCACCCCTACGAGTCTTATTTCTACCTCTGGGCTCTTGCTGCTGAGAACCTTCCATCCCTGTAGGTGGTCCTATTGGACGGCATCTAACATTAAGTGTTTCTTTCCATTTTAACAACTACTATCTAGCCAACTAGAGACCAGCCACATGCAGGTTTAGCTTTATCAGGAGAAGTCAGGCACCAGTCTTTGCGTCTGTAAATTGAGGAAACATTAAACTCTCTCATTCTCTCCTGGAAGTCCCCCTACTAGGCTGAGGTGAAGGGAGTACACCCCGAAACTTCATCCCTTTGGGAGGGTGGTTTATTACAGAACCATAACAACTTGCTAGAAAAAAAAAATTCACAAATCCTCTCCCTCTTTCCACTCTAACAGCTTTTTATATAGCCTGTCTATGACTAAGTAAGGGGAAGCAGTCATGAAACCAGTTTCCAAAAATAGAGTGATCTGACCCTCATCCCATTACCTAACTCTGTTGTGTTAGCACTTTGCTCAAATTCCGCATAAGAAGAGTCTGTTCACTACAAGCTGAACTTGGACATATCAATACATTTTTGGTGAATTTTTAACTTCATAATTTTACTCACTATTTCCTAACTTATTTTTTGAATTTCCTTAATTTTTTCTTCTTAAGAAAGAGGCCTCATTTGGATAATATACATTTTTACCTTTATATTTTCTTTCTTTCTCTGCTTGTTGACTACTTTTTGGACTTTTCTCCTTCTTTAATACATTAGGATTTTTTTTTTTTTTTTTTTTAGTTTAATACTGTCTACTTGGCATGTTTTCCTTCCTTCCTTTCTTCCTTCCTTCCTTCCTTCCTCTCTCTCTCCCTCTCTCTCTCTCTCTTTCTCTCTTTCTCTCTCTCTGTCTTTCTTTCTTTCTTTCTTGACCTAGTCATACTCTGTTGCCCAGGCTGGAGTCCAATGGTGTGATTTTGGCTCACTGTAACTTCCACCTCTGGGGTTCAAGTGATTCTCATGCTTTAGCCTCCCAAATAGCTGGGACTACAGGTGTGAGTTACTACACCAAGCTTATTTTTGTATTTTTAGTAAACACAGGGTTTCACCATGTTGGTCAGGCTAGTCTTGAACTCCCGACCTCAGGTGATCCACCCGCCTCGGCCTCCTAAAGTGCTGGGATTACAGACGTGAGCCACCGTGCCGGGCCCATTATTTTCAATATAATAGATTATCTACCATACTGCCTTGTGAGGATTAAATAAGAATACCTGCAAAGCACTTAGCAAAATATCCAAGTTAGTAAATATCAGTAAAAAAGAAGAAAAGTCCCTCCAAACATCTTATATTCTAGTCAACACAAGACTTCCTCTACATGGACTTGAAATTTAGCTTCTGTTTAGATAATGGAGAGCTCATTGCTTGATAAGTTGTCCTATCTCATGGTTAGCTCAAATTGTTAGGAAGTTCACACTGAAATTACAGTGATTTAATCATATGAACCTCCACTTCTCCATACTTTCCATGAAAAGGAAGCTTTGAGTTTGCCACATCTTTTGTTAAAACTCCCAGAATCATGCCCAACCAACTTGTAAGTAAAGGCCATAATCTTGACCCCAGCATTTAAGACCCTCAACAATCAGGTCCTACCCTGCCATTTGTCCTGGCTTTATTTCCTGGTATATCTCGATATAGGCCCCATGTTTCCCCCCAGCTGGATCACTTCCCCTTCCTTGAGCTCTGATTTTACTTTTCTACTTGTGCACCTGCACTTACAATGTTTCATCTCCAATTCATTTAGCAAAATTCTGCCTATGTTAGTCTTATGCCATCTCATATCCACTTCACCTATCAAATCCCACTATCTCAGAAGTCCAACTCAGAATATCTCCATTCTCTGACTACCTAAGCCAAAAAAGATATTTGACTTTGTATTCCTGTAGCAGAATATTTATACCACTCGCATTGCACTTTTAGTGTTTTATCTCACAGAACAGGCATTTGTATCAGTTGCAGGTTAGTTTCCCCAGGAAACAGACTCTGCGATGAAGATTGCATGGAGGAAGTTTACTGGAAAGGAGTCTCAGGATCAACATCTGTGGAGGAATGAAGGAAGGAGGCTTGGGCAGAGGAGAAATTGAACTGTGATGTAGTCACAACTATGGCCTCACCTGTTCCTGCAGAGAGCCTTGAGGCTGGGTTGGCCTGGTAAAGTTGTCCCAAACTGGGGCAAGCAGGCATGCCTTCGTAACCCCTGTTTATTAATCACTGGGTGTGGATTGTACCTTGGAGGAGGCATCATGTTGGGCAACACAGCTCTCTTCAGACAAGGGCAAGTCCTAGAAAAGTACTCAGGTGAGAATGGCAGCTGCCAACCCTCCCATAAGCTGAGGACATGAAGAAGCTGAGGACATGAAGAAGCTGAGGAAATGAAGAAGCTGAGGAAATGAAGGTGCATCCCTGGATGGAGATCTAGGCAGCAAAACATGACATCTACTACAATCCAACCCTTTGTGTCACTCAGGTCAATTTTCTTCATAAAATAAGCTTTGAGATCAGCTCTTCTGGGATTCTGCTTGGTCTCTCTTCCTAAAGAAAACATACAAGGGGAAAGTTAGTGAAATAAACTACAACCTTCACAGTTATAGCTAGTCTTGAGGCTGTAACCAATACTTGTCATTCCTCTTCTCCCCTGCCCAGTCTGTTTCCCCCTCACCCTTTGCTAGCACCTCTTCTACTCTAGGTGGTTTACCTGGTGAGACAACCCAGAGCCTCAGCCTTCAGGATCTGAGTCATAGTCACTGGGCCCTCTTGGGCCATGGCTGCTGCAATTGTCTGTATACATCAAATTTGGACGAGGAAATATTACAGAATGCCTAAGCTGGATGCCACATTCAGTATGTAAGTGCAGCCTTCAATGTCCTTCTGACTACTGGAGTCAAATACCCTTCCTGCATGGCTAGAAAACCCCGGTAACTCCTCTCCTTCCTGATAATCGATCAACATGAGGAAACTGAAATGACTGGACAGGAACAACAGCTTTCAGTTTAAAGGAACTCTTCCTATGCTTTCTGGAAGTCAGAACTTTTAAAAGTACAGAGTCCATATTTGTAGATTTAAAGTACTAATTCTCCAAGTGGGTTACCTGGAGTGATGGTAAATGGAAACACTCCAACTTGGTTCCTGGAACCATGTATACTAACTAGTAGGGACACAGCACCATATGAGTATTCATTTAAAGTGTGTACTGGAGGATGTTGCCTTCCAAGTTAGCACCTCAATTGATCCTTCAACAAACCATTTGTATTGCAGTATCAGGCTAGCAGCAAGTTGGTATTGTGGTAGGTGAGAGGCTAAGTGGATTCCATGGTAATGGACCCATTTCTGTAATTTCCTTGTTGTAAAGTGCAGCCCGTGATCTGATAGGATGTTATGTGAGCTCTTGTATCAGTGGGTCAAACTCTCTGCAAGCCCTTGTATGGTGATGCTTGCCTGAGGCCCTGCGGGCAGAAGAGACAAACCCATACCCAGAGTGGAAGAGGACAGATGTAGTCAACTTACCACCAAGTGACTAGCTGGTCTCTTTGAGGAATGGTGCTGATTCTGGGGCTCAACTTTGGTCTCTGTTGCTGGCAAGTTAGACATGGGGCAGCAAAAGTAGCTAGATCAGCCTTAATGAGAGGAGTCCGTGCTGCTGGAGCCATGCACATATCATCTCTGCCATCAGGCTATTCTGTGCAAGTGCCCTTTGTGCCAGCATTGGGGTGGCTGTTGACACAGGCTGACTGACATCAACTGGCTGAGTCATTTTGTTTATGCAGTTGTTTAATGTCTATTCTGTTGTGGGTGCTCCTGGTTAGGCATTAATAAGTGATACAAAGACCTTCACACTTTCTGCCTACTCCCATAGTTCCATTCACATCCCCCTTTCTCCAATCTCTTTATCTCCAATCTGTCAATATTTCTTCTTCCAGGTTCTTGAGGGGTTTTCCAGTCATGTCACTTGCTACTATCCATGAATTCCTGCATATTCTAACACTGGAAACACCTTTTCCACACAAGGTGTATGATGAGATGTAACACTGAAGCTCTGCCTATTTGGGACGATTGCCCTCTCTGCTATCTTTCGGTCACCCGAGTGAGTCCATAATGCAGAACCCCTTACATTTTTTTTTCTTTTTTGAGATGGAGTCTCCCTCTGTCGCCCATGCTAGAGTGCAGTGGCGCAGTATCAGCTCACTGCAACCTCTGCCTCCTGGGTTCAAGCAATTCTCCTGCCTCAGCCTCCCAAGTAGCTGGCATTACAGGTGCCCGCCACCACGCCCAGCTAATTTTTTGTATTTTTAGTAGAGATGGGATTTCACCATGTTCACCAGGCTGGTCTCGAACTCCTGACCTCAGGTGATCCACTCACCTCAGCCTTCCAAAGTGCTGGGATTACAAGCGTGAGCCACCGTGCCCAGTCCACTTCATTTTTTACTTGCACCCATGCACTATCAACTTGACTGTATCAGACTTCCTCTTCCTACTTGTGTCAGTTATGATCCTCTGAGAAGCAGACACCAAGATGGTATTAGCTGTGCAAGAGGTGTGTTGGGGAAAATGCTTAGGTGCAAGAAATGGGGAGAGGGCTGGAGGAGGCTGGGAGAGCCATGAGACTGCAATGCAAGCTTAACCCCTGTGGAGGAGAGAGGAAAGGAAGGAAGTGGGTAGGGAATATTTCAGGTCGTAGTGCAGTTCTAAGAAAGTTTTGGCAAAACCAACAAAGAGCTCTGGCCAGGCACAGTGGCTCATGCCTGTAATCCCAGCACTTTGAGAGGCTGAGGTGGGTGGATTACCTGAGGTCAGGAGTTCGAGACCAGCCTGACCAATATGCTGAATCCCTATTTTTACTAAAAATACGAAAATTAGCCGGGCATGATGGTGCGTGCCTGTAATCCCAGTTACTCAAGAGGCTGAGGCAGGAGAATCGCTTGAACCCACGAGGCGGACGTTGTAGTGAGCCGGGATTGCTCCGTTGTACTCCAGCCTGGGTGACAAGAGCACAACTCTGTCTCAAAAAAAAAAAAAAAAAAAAAAAAAAAAAAAAAGGTCCTATAGCCAAAGTAACTCATCAGAAGAGTTTCCAGTTTTGCAGAAAGAGCCTCCCTTAGTATCCCCACCATACTCAGTTATTAGCTGCAAGCAGCCAGTGGAAAATGTGGTATTAGCACTAACACGGGGACAGATTTCAGAGCACAGTGGTTGGGGGCTTATATCAAGTACACATCTTGCAGCTGGAGAGTGAGAAAGTTAATTAAAGCTGAGGCAAGACTGTAAATATACACTGGTGTCTGTCCCAAGTGGATGTGAACTGTTCTGGTGCTTTTTCTGACTGGCATATCCAGCGCAATAGCTGAATACCATATGCCTGAGACTCTACCCCGGCAAAGATGCCACATCAAGCACTATGGCTGCAATTGAGAACCCTGCTTGGTTGAGTTTGATTGTTTGCTGTCGTTTTCCGGGATCCAGATGGCAAATTAAATGTGGATTTGATGGGATCTACCATCCCTGCGTCTTTTAGGTCTTTAAGGGTGGTACTGATATTTGTCATTTCCCCTCAAAGATGAATTTTTTTTTTTTTAAATTTTGATATCTGACTGGGAGGTTGGGCAATTTCAGAGGTTTCCTTTTGGCTTTCCCCACTATGATAGCTCTTGTCTCACAGTCAAGGAAACAATGTGGAGGTTCTGCCAACTATCTAGTATGTTCGTGTCAATTATACATTTGGTGACCAGGGAAATAATCATGGGGGAATCCATTGACATGGTGCACCCCCTATGAGCTAGACTTAGGCTAGGACTCCAGATACCCAGGTTTCAAAATCAGCTTGGACATTGACCCTGCATCCAACTGACCTGAAAATATTTGAGTATTACCCTTTCCCCAGTGTGCAGACTTACCTGAGGAAATTTCCATAGGTCTCTTTGGGAAAGGACTAAAGGAGTCACAATCTTTTTAGATTCTTTTTTTATACAGTTGCAGGGTCTTTCCTTGTGGGGACCTGACTCCTCCTTCAGGCAAGAAATTCTGGGTCTAAGAACAGCTCAGATCTGGAAAAAGGCAATGGATTATGACTTTTGATTAGGATAGCTGTCCTCAGCCTCTCTCATTATCCAGCTTTGATTTATTTTTATTGTAAAGACTGAGCAATCCTTTTGTTGGCTGCTTCTCTATCTTGCGCCTAAGAACTCTGTGTTCTCCTAACCAACTCGACAATTTTCTGAGGGTCATGGTCTTCTGGCTGCCACTCTGACCTTACTGCTCATTGTAATAACTGTGCCCAACTTGTTACTGGTGGTTAAGCCCTCCTGCCCGGCTTCTCTATATAGGGATCTTAACATCCCCATTGCTATCAAAGAGCTCAGTTCTGTAATGGCATGTCCTATAGTTAGCCCTCAGGATCTATTCCCAGCTCCCCTCCTGGCCTCCAAGCCAGTAACTTAGGGTAGTCACAACTTACACTGGCTGTGGAAGTGCTGGGCATGTTAGCAAAGGAAAGGGACTATACCCCAAAGGAGGTGCACTCACCCATGCTGCAGAATTTAACATTCTAGTTAGTTCCTTAAGAGGTGGCACAAACATGCTGCTAGGATGGTTTTTGGAAGCTTGGAGAAAGCATGGCCCTCACCACCTGAACTAGAAATGTCAGAGCGAATGTGGCAGATGGTGAAAAAAGAGATGGAGCACACTAGAATAAAAATGCTATGTAAGGCTAGAAAACCCACTGGGTGACTATGCTCCTCTAAGGGCCCAGAGAACATTCTGTTTATGAAAACAATAAGGAATGTGCTGGTGAGATGAGAGGGTTACCAGCATCGCTGAGAAGCTTGTTAGTGGCTTTTTCACAGTCAAAGGAGATTTTTCTTTAAATTTAATTTTCTTGAATAAATATAAGAATAAGAGTTCTTTTGGGTTTAAAAAGTAAATAATACAGAAAATCATAAAATCAGGGAGAAAAACACTGAAATTTCACCATCCTGGGAAAATATGAACATTTTTGTGATCATCCTTTCATGCATTTCTCTATGCAGTTATACATCCCCATGTATAATTGTATATTCGTTGAATGTCGTATCTCCTATTGGTACTATAGGAACCTTTCTTTTAAAAAGAATCTCATTTGTTCTTCCCCTGTCACTTACTAAAGCTTTCAATTGCCATTTCTCACCCTCCAAATCAAAGCTAACAATGTGTTGTTTATTTGTGTATAATTTTCTCTTGCTTTTAACACATACAATTTTTCTTTACCTTTTAACTTATTTTTTCCAAAAATAGGATCATATTTCATAAAGTTTTCCACATCTTGCTTCTCTCCCTTAATATGTCATTTAAAGCCCCCAAGTTAACTTTTATAAATCAAACTCATATTTTATAATGACTGAAAAGCATTCTAGAATGCGGAGACACTACCAACATTCGACAGTTCTGTTACTGCTAAGCATTCACATGGTTTTTAGGTTTTGTTACTATGAATAATGCCGTAATACATATCCTTGAACATATGTCTTTAATCACTGGTTTAATAGTTTATGCTAAACTTGTACCAGAGATTGATATAAAATTTCTCAGTCTAGCTATTTTTCCCCTCTTCTGATGATCAAGTCTCCATAGGCTTATTTCCAGAATTCAGAATATTTTACTAAGGATTTCCAAAATAAAGCCACCCTCCACCCTTGTTAAAGTTATCCTTGGTGGGTGTGGTGGCTCATGCTTGTAATCCCAGCACTTTGGGAGGCTGAGGTGGATGGATCACCTGAGATCAGGAGTTCAAGACCAGCCGGGCCAACATGGTGAAACCCCATCTCAACTAAAAATACAAAAATTAGCCGGGCATGGTGATGCATGCCTGTAATCCCAGCTACTCGGGAGGCTGAGGCAGGAGAATCGCTTGAACCCAGGAGGTGGAGGTTGCAGTGAGCCAAGATCGCGCCATTGCACTCCAGCCTGGGTGACGGAGCGAGACTCCATCTCAAAAACAAACAAACAAACAACAACAAAAAAACAAATAAAGTTATCCTTATAAATCACAGCTCAAATGTTACCCTTCTAACTTCTAATTGCCTACAAAATAATAGTCCAAATTTCTCAAAATGCATCCAAGACCTTCTCTAGGGGAGGACGAACATAACTTCCCACACTCATTTCTGTTTAGCTACCCTTCTTCTCTTGCTTTAAACACCTGTATCCTATACTTGGCAACAATGAACAAGAGCCATTTTCCCAACAATGCCCTTTATCTCTTGCTATTGTGCCTTTACCCACTCTTAGACATTCTTATGCACCCAGACATCCCTTCTATGAAGCCTTTGCTAATAAAGACAAACAGAAGTTATCATAACCTCTTTTGTGCTTCCAGAGCTCTTGGTACATGGTTTTCTTAAATAAGATGATTTATTTGGAATATTTTTGGATTTACAGAAAAGTTGCCAATTGTAATACAACTGTATACCCCTCACCCAGTATACCCTAATGTTAACATCTTATATTATCATGATATATTTGTAAAAACTGAGAAATCAACATTGTTATATTACTATTAACTAAACTCCAGACTTTTTTGGATTTTGCCAGTTTTCCCACTAATGCCCTTTTTCTGTTCTGAGATCCAATCCAGAACACGTGTTGCATTTAGTCATCATGTTGCTGTGGTGTAATGTCTTGAGTGCCGTTGTTCCATGCATTTTATCCAGGTTTTTAGTTATTTCATAAAGGAGGGTATAACTGGAAGCAAAGTCTAAGATTAGCTTTAAATAAAGCAAGAGGAAAGCATTTTTTTTCTAATTTAAAATATATCATCATATTTCAAGGGCAATATCTGTTTGAAAATAAAAGAAAAATCTTGTTCAGTTAAAAAAAAATGGGGTCCCAGCTGGCAAATGCCGCCAACATAGCTTAATTTTAATTTAAATAAAATAGTTCTTTGAGGTTACTCAGTGGTATACTGGAAACCTAAGAATGCCATTGCCATTAACAGAGTCCACAATCCCTCACCTCACTGCTTCCTTTCTCTCCTTATCACTTACCTATGAAACTGGATGGAGAGCTGCAGAGATGAAGACGTTTACTAAGAAATTCTTTCCTAAGTGGTATGTGAAAAGAAAGTAAATTCATGTTGAGTCACATTAAT